ACAACAACAACAGCAACGCCTAATCCAAGGAATATCCTCTCCTAGCAACATGTCCAAAATATGTGAAATGAGCCTTATCACCTTTGCCTCCTTTGACTTTCTGTGCATCTTCTCCAAGACATATGTTCGTTCTTTTGGCAGTCCCAGTGATATTCAGTACTATTTCCCAACACTAGAGCTCAAAGGTATCAGTTCTTCTGTCATACATTGTCCAGCTCTCAGATGCATAGTGAGTAAATGAAAACAAAACAAAACAAAACAAAACAAACCAAAACCCTAGTCTCAATCAGGCTCACCTTAATCCTCAAGCTGACATCATTGCCCCTTGATAATTTGTAAAGGTCCCTCAACTACAGACTTTCCCAGTGCAGTATATCTCTTTATCTGACTTCTAGTGCCAAGAATGTTTGTGGATCCAAGTAAAATGAAGTTGTTGACAGTTTCAATCTTTTCTCCATCTATCATGATGTTGCCTGTTGGTCCAGTGGTGAGAATTTTGTTTTCTTGATGTTCAGACGTAATCAATTTTGAAGGCTGAAGTGTTTGGTCTTCTGTAGCAAGCATTTCAAGGTCTCACTTTTAGCAAACAAGGATGTATCATTTGCATAACACAGATTATTGATGAGTCTTCCGTTGATTCTGATGCCACATTCTTCTTCATAGAGTCCAGATTAATGAATTGCTCATCATACAGATTAAATAGGTATGGAGAAACGTTACAACCCTGATACACACCTTTTTAAAGTTTAAACCAGGCAGTTACCTTGCTCTGTTCACATAAGAGCCTTTTGGTCTAGGTAGAGACTTCACATGAGCACAATTCTGGGGTTCCCATTCTTCTCAAAGCTAGCCATGATTTTTTATGGTCTACACAGCCAAATGCTTTTTTTGGCAATAAAGCACAAATAGATATTATATGGTACTTTGTGTTCAGGCAAGATCCATCTGACAGCAGTGATATTGCTGGTGCATGGTCTCTTCTCAAGTCTTCTTGAACTTTTGGCAGTTCTCTATGTACTGTTCTAATGGTTTTTTAAATGATATTCAGGAATATTTTGCTTGGATGTGATGTTAATAATATTGTTTGATAATTTCCACATTCTTTTAGATCATCATTATCAGAAATAGGTGCAAATATGGATCTCTACAAGTCAATTGGCGAGGCAGCTGTCTTCCAAGTTTCCTGGCTTAGTTTGGAGAGCATGTCCAGGGCTGAATCTGTTAGTTGAAACATTTTGTTTTGTATCTCATCGATTTTTGAGGACTTACTTTTTCCAGTCCATTCAGTGCAGCTTGAACTTCTTCCTTCATTACCAGGAACTAAGAGAATGCCAGTTGACATCTTTTAGCAAGCAAATGCAATGCTCAATTGCTCATTCATGTTTGCTAAGAAATTTGAAAGACTGCTACCTCATCAACCAACTGGAAGATATTCATATTTGTGCTCATTCCAATGAAAAATATGCAACAGAAAACTACAAAACAGTGTCATTAATATAATATGCAAGTAAGATTTTGCTGGAGATAACTTTAAGATGGCTGAAGTAACACATTGACAGGAAACTGTCAGAAATTCAAGATGGATTCAGAAGAGGCCATGGAACAAGGAATATTGTTTCTGAGGAATGATTAATCTTAACTGACTGCAAAGAATACCAGAAAGATGTTTACCTGTTCTTTATTGACTATATAAAGGTGTTAGGCTATGTGGATCATAACAAATTAGGACTAGCATTGTGAAGAATGAGAATTCCAAAATGCTTAATTGTACTCATATAGAATTGTACATAGACCAAAAGGAAGTCATTCAGACAGAATAAGGGAATACTGCATGGTTTAAATCAGGAAAGGCGTGTGTTAGTGTACCCCTTCACTCTTCATGCTGAGCAAATAATGCTGGAACTTGGACTATGTGAAGAAGAATATGTGATCATGACTGGAGGAAGATTTATTAACAAACTTTAATATGCAGATGAAAAACCATTGCTTGGCTTGAAGAAAACAAAGAGCACCGAAGCACTGACTGATGACACTGAATAATTGAGTATGGATTGTACTATAAGATAGAAAAAAAAACATACAAAAATTCTTACAATTAGACCTATTATTGTTGTTGTTATGTGCCATTAAGTCACCTGTGACTCATAGTGACCCTATGCACTTTAGCTCTGAAATCTTCCCTGTCCTGAGCCAATCTAATCATCTCCAGCAGACCTAATCACATTTATTCAGTCACTGAATCAATCCATCTCATCCTGGGTCATCTTCTCCTGTGCTGTCCCACCACCTTTCCTAGCATGATATCCCTCTCAAAAGACTGGCCTCTTCTGGAGATATCCCCAAAATATATAAAACAGAGCCTCCAAATCCTTGCCTCTAGGGAGCAGCCTGGTTTCACCCTCTCATCAGCATTAATATTGTAAAAGGTGTATATTTAATAAGAGTAGTCAAATCTGACTTCTATCTACTTTATAAAATGGAACTTTTCTCCATTAATAATACATGTGTTATGTTGTTACGTGCTGTCGAGTTGCCCGTGACTCATAGTGACTCTATGTACAACAGCCATAAACTCTGCTATATCCTGTGCCAACCTTATTGTCTCTGTCACAACTACCCCCATTACCCTAGTCACTGATCCAATCCATCTCATTGAGGGTCTTCTTCTCATGTGCTGTCCTTCCACCCTCCAAAATATGATGTCCCTCTCCAAGGACTGATTCCACCTTGCAACATGTCCAAAGTTTGTCAGATGAACCTTCAGAATCTTTGCTTCCAAGGAGTAGCCTAGTCTCACCCTTGCTAGGTTGAACCTCTTTGTTCTCCTAGCAGTCTATGGTATACTCAATACTCTTCTCCAGCACCACAGCTCAAAGGCATCAATTCTCCTTCTATCATCCCTAGTCATTGTCCATAGTATGATACAAATAACTACATGATCAGACGTGCCACTGCACATAGTCCTTTACCTATTTCTATGAATTATTGTGTTCAATGTTCATTGCAAATTGACTCACAGTTATGGGGCTTATTAGGGAAATGGTTTAGGAGGTGGGATGTGAGGCAAAAATGATAACACAATGCAATTCCAAGTTTGATCCAGCAGTCCCAAGTCAGATTAACAAGGCCTAATTCCTTAGTTCAGACAGCTTCCCAGTCAACAAATGAAGGTCTAGGTTCAGTTTAGTAGCATAAATAAACCTCTGATTTTTTCAATTGTCCAGCAAACTTTGTCTTAGAGCAGTTACTAGTCAGCTTTTCCTCCAGGCGTCCAGTGAGTAAAACCCATAACTGTGGCTTCATCTCCAGAGTTCCTCTGGTTAGCACCTTGCCACAGTCTTCTCACAGCTTTACACAGTCTCTTCACAGACATGCTATAGTCTCTCCCCACTACTGCCTTGCATAGTATGGAAAGTGTTCTCTTTCATTGGTCCCACTGTTGTTGATGATTTGTGAGACAATGTGTCTGCTGTTAGGTAGCTGGAGACCATGCCCCCAACAGGGCTAAGGCAGTAGAAAGAAAAGGCAATTTTCAAGGTTTTTGACATAACAAATGTAAACATAGAAAATATTGAAATTGTCAAGAATTTAATTTTAGAAATATTTTATCTTAATATTGTTTTTCAGCAAGGAAATATCATGTAAAGAAAAAAAGGTAGTATGCATGATGTACTAAACTGGTTATTATTAATGCAGCAAGAGGAAGATTATATATATATATATATAACACAGTTGTGTGTTGAGTTTAATGGTACTTTTAGAGGCAAACTGGAGTAGATTGCATTGCATGAAAAGTAAGTTAGAAGATTGGAACTATATCATAAGGAGCATTAAATGAATCTGGTGATTCTGAAGGTGGTGAAGAGTAGACTAACACATTGAAGGTATGAGAGCCTCAATAGTTGGAAGAGCCACCATTGATCAGGACAGGTTACAGAGAAAAACAAGTAGGTCTTGTAGAAAAATGGGAGCACAATTAGGCACCAAGAAACATGTCAGACATTTGGATGTAACTCGGAAAGTGTCTTTCCTTGAACAATAATGTTGTTATATGCCATAAAGTCAGAACCTACTCAGAGTTGACCCTTCAGTGAGTTTTCAGAGGCTATAAATCACAAGAGTGGACATGAGAGGAGATTGTCCATTTCCCCCCTTCAGAACAGTTGAATTTGAACTACTTTACCACTTGGCCACCAATGGACAATAATTAGTAAGCTTTTGTTGGAGTTGAGAAAACAGAGGTTTGTTCATCCTTGAAGAGGTTTCTTGTGAGAACATTGCAGCATTTTAATCCTTTCTAATATCTTGTGCTTAATGGTAGCAGTAGAGTGGTTTAGAGAAATGAAAAAAAGTTCTTTGACAAAACTCTAATCTGCTGCTGGGTTTGGTTACTATGCATGAACTTCATGTGAACACCAAAGACTGTTGCTTGGAAACTTTCTTAGGGCATCCTGACCTGGGGAAAAATTGTGTTCTCTCAGGGATTGTCTAGGGTTGTTTTTTTTTTTACCACCAACTCCTCAGAATTTTTAATAAGAAGAAACAATTACTTTCTACCTTGTAAACCACAACACTCTGGTTTGTGTGTGGAGAACAGGGACATGATGGTCGGAGATAAATGGAAGTGCTTCCTAGTTCTGATTAGATCTCCGGTAAACATTGTAATGAGTCCTTGAGAACACATTCATTACAAGTGTTTCCGTGTGGGCTTGTGCCAAAAAGCACACGTTCATAAACACCCATGAGATCCATGTGATGCAGTTTAATGTCTCATTTGGTGTTCATTAGACCATGGGAGCCAATATGCCTTCAATTTAGAGTGATTCCGCCTCGTGTTTTATTTTTTAAAAAGGAAATCCTGCTAAGATTCAGTGAGTTGTGAGTTACTCTGAGCATTTTCCTCCCTCCTTTTTCTCCACCCTGCTTTCTTGCTGCTATTAGCTTTGTTAGGACGCTGCAATTGAATTACCGAAATTACACTCAATAACTCTTGTTTGCAGTTAAATTATGCAGAAACAAGACTGAGCCAATTAGAAAACTGTCATTGCGAGAAGACCTGCCAAGTGAGTGGACTGCTGTATCGAGACCAAGACTCTTGGGTTGATGGTGACCACTGCAGGAACTGCACGTGCAAAGTAAGCCTCTTCTGAATATATAAAATTTTAAAAAATTTTAAGGAAAAAGGTCCATTAATTAAGAGTACAGTCCTGTTCTTGATTGCATATTGCCTCTCAGGATTGCCTTTTTGCTAAGCTACCAATAGAAAGTGATCATTTCTTAAAGAAATAAACCCAAACCAAACTCATCAACTTGATTCTGACTGATGGCAACCTTATGGCACAGAGAAGAACTGCCCCAAATGGTTTTCCAAGCGGTAATCTCTACGGAAGCGTCTTTCCCCTCTGGAGCACCTATTACATTCAAACCACCCAACTTCCATTTAATGCCCGAGTGCTTCACCCCTGCACAATAACTTTTCTATTTAACAAGTCATATCATTTCTAATACAAATGCACTCTGCTTTCCATTGAGGACATACTCTAATATATCTTATATTTTGATGAAGAAACTTATTGTTTGGAACTTGGAGGTTAAAGTATAGAAGGTGGAAGGGATTTTAATTTTTTTTTTAAATGTTTCTCCTGTATCCAATTTAGTGCCATCAGTTTCATTAGTCATGGTGGGTAACCATCAGGACACCTGTGATTTTAAACAACCTTGTGGTTAGCTTCATATAGAATTTTTCTCCCTTAGGAGAATTTTTAAAAGGGAATTCTTTAAGTGTATTTTTTATTATTTAAGGGTACTCATTACCTCTTGGGTACCCTAAAAATACAGTGAACTCACTTAGAGAACCCTAGCAATGAACAGTAAAATCACTTGTTCCGGAGAACTGCAAGATGCGCTTTGCAAAGGAGGCATCCTTTGTACCCTCCTTTCTGTGCTTCAGAGAAGCACAAGGGCCCACTCCCAGCCTCCAAATTAGTATGCCAACATTGTGCAGCTGAAATTATTTGATAAATATCTGAAGAATGCCATTGTTTGTCCAGGAAAATACAGAAGGGATTGTTAGAGCGTCACAATGATTGACAGGGTCTGTAAAAAGTGTTATTTATGTTCTTGTAAAAATGGGCTTTTTGTTTTCTGCCTAATCTACTTAGCCTGCATGGGCAGGTGGGATGAAGCCAGTGATGTATATCAGAAAAGTAATTGAGGTGGCATGGGTTCATTCAGGCTGGAGAAAGCACGTTATTTGTGGACCTGGAGCGGACTGGAAATTCTCCACACTGTTACTGCCACTCTGATGAGGTTTCTGGGATGAGATGTGAGCTTGCTGCATAGAGGGAGCTTGCAAAGGCACTTCTAACATTGCTATTCCTTCCTTTCTCAGAGTGGCACTGTGGAATGCCGGAGGATGTCGTGTCCTCCTCTTAATTGCTCCCCAGATTCTCTCCCTGTGCACATTGCTGGCCAGTGCTGTAAGGTTTGCCGACGTAAGTACTGAGGCTCAGAGTGGTCCTCTGTACATAAGTATTTATCCTTGACATTTAAAAAAATTTTTTTATATTGGTTTCTTACAAGATTGGTGTACATTTTCCACACTATCCTTCACTCACATTGTGTTACACACAATCATTCCCATTGGCTATTTTATAAAATTGATCACAATTGAACTGTGCTCACCATTACTCTGTCTTTCCACTTCCCTCCTTGATCTTTCCCATTTCCTTTACCCTTTCCCGCCACCCACCAAGTTGTGTGGTCCTACGATTTTCCCCCTTTCTCACTCTCCCTGCTTTGTTCATACTCCTTACCTCCTTGGATCTCCAAACATGTTTTACCAGTTTTCCTTCTGTTTTTACAGTAATGGTTCTAAGCAATATTTATTCTTACAAGGCTGATTTAGCTCATTCATCATAATGCTCTCCAGTCTCTCCTCCCAAGTTATGTAATAATTTTCAAATTAATTTTTCCTGAGTGCTGCATATTCCAGTGTGTGAATGTACTACAATTTCTCAATCCATTCAATTGCCATTGGACATTTGGGTTGTTTCCATGTTTGTGAGATTGTGAATAATGTTGCGAATAATGTTGTGAATAATAACATTGGTGTACAAATATCCATTTGTGTTTCAGTTCTAATTTTCTTGGGATATATTCCTATCCGTGGAATACCTGGGTCATATGATCTATGTTCAGCTTTTTGAGGAAATGCCAAATTGCCTTCCAGAGTGTTTGTTCCATTTTATAATTCCACCAAAAGTGAATGGAGTCGCTATCTTTCCATATCCTCTCCAAATCTATTACTTGCTCTCTTGTTAAACTTTGCAACTGCTACTGGAGTGAGATGCTATCTAGTTGTGATTTTGATTTGCATCTCTCTTATTGCAAGTGATTTTTAGCATTTCTTCATGTTTCTGTTGGCCATCTGAATGTTTTCCTCTGTGAAAACTCTTTCCATTGTCTTTTGTCCATTTTGTAATTGAGTTATTGTTCTTTTTCTTGGGGAGACAATGTAGTACTCTGTAAACTTTTGTTATAAGACCATTATTTGAAATGGTATTGCCAAATATTTTTTCCCTAGTCAGTAGGTTTTCTTTTCACCTTGTTGGGCAAAGTTTTTATGTATACAAGGATTTAATGTTTAGAAGGTACGATTCATCCATTTTATTCTCTCCTGGTTGTGTATGTCTGACTTTATACCATCGGTTTGGCCTTCTAAGTTTCATCCCAAAACTATCAACAACTTCATCTTACTTAGATCCACAGTCAACACCCTTGGTACCAGCAGTCAGGAAATCAGGAGACATATTGCCCTGGGAAAGTGTGCAGTTAGGGACCTCTCCAGATTGAGGAGAAATCATGTCAGTTTGAGGACTAAGGTGCGTCTAATTCTGCCATCACTAATTCTGATCACTTGCTATGAATCTGACATAGGAATGAAAGAATAGGAATGGCAGAAAGAGAATTGAAGCCTTTGAACTGTTGTGTTGGAGAAGAGCACTGAATATTCCATCGACAGCCAAAAGAACAAATAAATATGTCTTGGTGAGGTTGTAACCAGAGTGCTTTTTGGAGGTGAGGATGATGAGGCTTTGCCTCACATACTTCTGGCATGTTGCCAGAAAGGTCTATTCCTTGGAGAGGGACATGATGCTGGGAAGGAAGGGTGGAGGGCTGGTGAAGGAGAGTAAGACACTTACCCTGGATGATTGACACAGTGACTACTGTGATAGGCTCTTGTGTGTCAAGAAGCGTGAAGATGGCACAGAAAAGGAGGTTATTCAGATCCACTATTCATAGGGTCACTATGAATCATACTCAACTTAAGGACACCTAACAACAACAAACATAGGAAAGGAGCTCTGGTGGGCTAGTGTAAAGAGCTGCGCTGCAATCCCAAAGGCATGCGGTTCAAATCCACCAGCTGCTCTGCCTGAGAAGGATAAACAATCTCCTCCTCTGCAATGTGTCAGCTATGAGTCAGTTTCAACCCAGTGGTAGAACAACAAACATAGGAATTTTTTAAATACTTTCTTTACTGTATAAAGGGTGCTATTTCAATAAAATCTTTCAGACAAGCAGAGTAATGTTTGGTATGTTCCAATTATGTTAAGTGCTTTAAATCTATTATTTGTTGAATCCTTACAATAGCTTGTAATTGAATATTATTATTGATTGGACATTTAGGCTTAGAGAAATTAACTTTCCAGGGTCACAAGGCCAGTAAGTGGTAAGAGCAAGCTATAAAACGGGTTCTGTCTAACCACAGAGCCAGTAGTGTTTTTAGCAAACAATATATAGTCTTCCATAGAAAATGGAGTTAAGGTTAGAAATTAGATATCCTTTGGGTGATTTTTAGGACCGTCTTTCTATTGGAAACAGTGCACAAATGTCTTTAGACCTATAAAATGCACGTATGGAGCTTTTGCTTAAAGGAACATGTCTCTTGAGTAGAGAGAACTGGTCCACTCCTACCAGCCCAACTATTTGTAGAACTCTTTAAAATGAACTTTGGAATATTCTTCATTTTCCTTGTTGCTAGAGTACTACCATTTCTCTGGAGGATGTATTTGACCTTCACCTGTTGTTGTTTTGTGCTGATAAGTCACCTCCACTCATAGCGACCCTATGTACAACAACTCTGAAGCCTACCCTGTCCTGAGCCAATCTCACTGACTCCAACACACCTACCTGCATTGCCTCTGTTATTGTATCAATGGATCTCATCCAGGGTCTTCCTCTCCTGCACTGTTCATCCACCCTCCTGAGCGTGATGTCCTTCTCCTAGGACCAGTCTGTCTTGATCACGTGCCTAAAATATGTGAGTCAGAGCTTAAAAATTTTAGCCTCCAAGGAGAAACTAGATTTTCATCCTCTCTAAGACAGATCTTTTCTGGGTGGTCCATGGTATGTTCAAGACTCATTTCCAGTGCCATAACTCAAAGGCAACAATTTTCCTTCTGCCATCCTTAGTCATTGTCCAGCTCTCTGATGCATAGCAAGAAATTGCAAAGACCATGGCCTGGATCATGTGCATCTTAGTCTCTAGACCGACATCATTGCTCCTTAGTATTCTGGAGGGGTCCCTGATAGCGGATTTTCCAAGTGCAATTCGTCTTTTGATTTCCTGACTGCTAGTATCAAGAGTGTTGATTGTGGAGCTGAGCAAGTTAAAATTATTAACAGCTTCAATCACTTCTCCATCTGTCATGGTGCTGCCAGTTGATCCAATGGTGAGAATCTTTGTCTTCTTGATGTTGAGTTTCTGTCCATATTGACAAAGACTATAGTCCTTGACCATCTGCAGCAAGCGCTTCAGGTTTCTTCAGTTTCAGCAAGCAAGATTGTGCCATCTTCATAATGTAGGTTGGTAACAAGTCTTGCTCCAATCCTGATGCCACATTCCTCCTGATAAAGCCCAGCCAACCAAGTGATCTGTTGTGCATATAGTATATTGAATAGGCATGGAGATAGGATGCATCCCTCACACATCCTTTCCTGATTTTGAACCATGCAGTGTTTCCCTGCTCTGTTCTGATCACTGCTTTCTGGTCCAAGTATGGGTTTCACATAAGCAAAATCATGAGTTTTGGGATTCCCATTCTCCTCAAGGTTAGCCACAATTTGTTGTGATCCACACAGCCAAATGCCTTTGCATATTTGATGAAACACCAGTAGACATTCCTCTAGTACTCTTTGCTTTTTGTCAAGATCCATCCAGGACTGACAATGTCTCTAGTGCCACAACCTCTGAATCTTTTGTTTCTGTTTTCAGGGCATTTGGAACAGATGGCTCAAGTGCCCTGTTGTTGAGATTATCGTTTTATCTCATATTGAAAAGGTAGCTGTCAGTAGATAATAATTTTTGTACTCTTGATTTTCCATGCAACAGGCATCAGATAAAGAAGTTGGGAAAAAGGTTGATAAATTTGTCCTAAATATGAGTAAATATTCCAGTCATCTTACTCAGAGTGTAGAAAACTATTCTTTTCACCAGAAAGAAATGATTTGTCAGGTATTTTGTGTTTGTAGTTATTTTTTTTTTAATAATGATAAGCATAAAAGCAGTGTGCTTGCTGCATAACATTAAAAAAATAGAAGTTAACAGTGGAAAACCCACTCATAGGACAACCAATTTTGAAATAGTGACTTAAAATTTTAAAAGATTGTATTTATCTTTTTCTTCTTCACTTATATTTTACACTCAGTTGAGGTCACACTATGCAGATAATTTTATCTCCTACTTTGTTGACTTACCATTATAATTTATCTGTAGTACTATTATTTTTTTAAAGCCCTGTGAAATCTTCATTTTAATGGACTTCACCGTGTTTTACTGTTTGGCTGGTGCGTTAATTTATTTAACTATTCCCCAGTGACTGGATATGTCAGAGGTTTCCTACTTTTTGCTATCACAAATTGCTCTTCAATAACATATTTAGTAAAGGAAAATGTATTTTATATTTACTTATAATTTTTTCGGAGTAGAATTATTGTGCTAAAGGGCTGACATTTTTAGACCCCTGATATAAAATGCCAGATTGTTCATTTGTTAAACATACATAAGGGTGCTGATTTTTTAAATTCTAAATTATTTAAACATTTAAAAGTATTTCAAAGAGTTAGCAAATCAAAGTGCCACTAAGATGCTGCTGCTCAGGCCAATAAAAACCTTGGTGTGTGTTTTTGCCTTTATTTGAAATGAATACCTGTCTATCTAGGTGATACTAAGTTTCTCTGGACTTCTGATGGATAGCTTGATGTGTTTATGGTTTAATAAGATGGGATTATGAATAAATTATTAAGGACACTTCACAAATAGCTAGAAAAACTGTAGAAGACAACATTGGTAATTAAGAGGTTGAGAACCTCCGTCCTTGCACATTTTTATTTCTTACTAGGTTTTAATAAAAGCATGCATTTGGCAGTTTCCAAGTGAAAGTACTTGGAATAATGATTAAAGAGCTTTAGCAGAGCTCTTTTCAAGCAT